CTGGCTTAATACACACATGCACTTGCAACTAGTACCTAACCCCAAAATTCAGGTGAAATAGTGAATTTGATATCCAGAATTGCACATCTGGCACAAAAGTATTAAAATAAATAAATAGAGCACATCCCACTTCCACCATGTCTGAGTCTGAGTAGTACTTACAGCAAGCATTAAAATAAACTAAGCTTAAAAAATGCTATTTTCCAATATGACATATTTCTTGAAACATTGCTTGCTATGTTTGCCTTCAATCATTGAAAATTAGCATATCAAAAGTTCCACCATATTTGATTGAAGGGGGGGGGGGGGTTGAAATGAAATTGTATGTTTGTGATCAAAAAATAATTCACTATGTTCAAGTCTAGAATAATTGTAGGATTTTAAAAATCATCATTTTAGGCCAGGAAAAAAAAATTCTCTGTTTCTCGTTTCATGGAAATTTCAAAATGAATACTGAGCTAAAATGGGGGGAATTTGAGACAAGTGCGAGTACAAGTGCATTTTGGAATGCTTTAGAAGGAAAAAAACGACCGAGGCACATAGTTCAAAATGATGCACACGGAAACAAGAAATAGCGATATTTTTCTCAGCCTTAGTGTCTCAATTTGCACAAATTTGGTTTCTTTTTTAATGTGAAGCCATATATCTCTTTTGAAAATAGTTTCATTCACTCACTGTGTTTAAACCAGAGTTGTTTTACTGCATTATTTGGTTACGTGCTGTCTCTCAATTAGTTACGAAAGATGTCTTCCTGCGATGTCTTGGCAAAGACATATAGGTCTATCAACCAGACAATATATAATGCTGCGGCAGATGAATGTGGGACCCACCACGAAGAAGTTAACCGTCCACAGAGCACTATCTACAACATAATTCATAATTATCGGCAAACATGACTCGTACACAGATTTAATTTGAATATAGATGACACTACCAAAACAATATTCAGCCATATCCACAACTCTAATTTCTTTTCAACATAACGTGTAGTTTAGTGGGTAAAATAAAGTATTGGAATTTCCTTCGTTTCATTTTTACCAGCCAGCACCCTTTATGAAATTTACTGTGTCCAGGAACATTGATTTGTCGTGATTGAAAGTGCCAAAGATTGTTCCGAGTAATAATGCAATGTTGCAAGCGAACTGAGTATATATGATCACCTTCTGTATCGGTAATAAGAATTGG